GGCAATGTTTCCAGTGGAGAACAAAAACGTCGAGTTCCATCAAACTGAACGGGTTGACGAGACGGAAACAAACCTATACACCCCCAAAGAGTATTAGAACCCTGGCATAGATGACAGTCAGCAACGTCGCCTACACTCTCCCCCAATGAGCGAGAGCCGTACACACAGTTGTGGTAGTTCTCCTGGTGCAGTGTGTGGTCGCCAGCTATGCAGGTGATCATCGCTAGGCTGCGCACCTCCCGTGACGGCATGAGGTGATGGAGCAGCCAGCACGGCTTGTCGTGGGGTGCGGGGTGACCGGAGATGAGATCCCTCAACACATGCATATCGACCTGGAAAACCAGGTTGCCTTGGCTGAGCTGCGGCAACAGGGCAATAGTGAAGACACCTGATGCCGACATTCCCGCCACCTTGGCAAAAAGACTAAAAACAATACATGAATGACCTTCAGGAACCGCACAGGCCTGTTTTAACAGAGTGGCAAGACCCGCATCGTTGCGAGAGCTCACGACGTTGTGCTGCAGCTGAGGGCGACAGCGTTTGTTCCCGGCATGTGTGTAGATGCCAACGGGGCGGTTGGCCACAACCTGCTGGTTCAAGACGTCCGTGACACCCCACGAGTACACACGCGCCATGCTGTAATGGAGCTGCACGTGGCCCACACTCGTCTCCGCAAGCACGTCGAGGGCGTGGCCAACTGTCAAAAGCACCACGGCGTGGAACAACTCCTCCGAGTGCCGGCGAGGTGACCCGTGGATGATGGCAGCGTGCATCGAATACGGAGGGGCGTCGCAGGCATAGGGGCATCCTCCGCCAAAGTTTTCCGCCACCCGTCGTGCCAACACGGACTCGTACAACGTGGCATGGAAGGGATGGTACGTCACACTGTCGAAGCGAAACCGCGACGCACCCGTAAGTCCATCGCGAAGAACAACGTCGCCCTTCCGCGCATCAACGTCGACGCTGCTCGCTCCCTCATGCGGGGGAGCAACGTGCGCACCGTAGAGAACGCTCTTTATGCTTAACACCATCGCGCCGCTGGCAGCTGCAAATGGCCCGCAAGCAGAAAAGAAAAGGAAGAGAGGAAAAGAATCACTGCAGCACCACCCGCCAACTGAGGGAGGGACGTGAAGGGAAACGGCGCACCCACACCTCTAAAAGCAGCAACAAGAAAATTCATCCCCCATCACCCACAGAAACAAACAAACTACACCTACAATAACACCCGCACACGTACACGGAAAAAAAAAGGTCGATCTAAACTCAAAGTAAAAAAATCACTTATTCAACCCAACAAAACCTCTATCACATGAAGCACCAATAACAGACCGCGGGGACAACAATGAAACAGCCGAAACCTCAGAATGCCAACAAGAAGATTTCAAGGACCCCAGCAGCAGTTCCAACTTCCTCCCAATCACCTGGGTCGAAAAGATCAACCACAGCAGCGATTCTCCCTTCATACGACCGCAGCAACCCATCGTCACAGCCTACACCCACACATGATGTAGTCATTCGGTGGATCCGCTCAATCGTGGCAGCCTCGCGTGACACGGCATCGGCTTCGGAAAGGCGCAACAGCTCCTCCGCACGATCCACAT